GGTCGCGAAAGAAGACGGATTCATAACGGGAAAAAATAAAACAAAATCATAACGGCTTCCCAGAAATACTATCAGCTATGTCTTTCGGGACATATCCGTTAAAATTGGAACGATACAGAGAACCTAGACAAGATTAGAATGGCCCCTGCGCTTTAGCATGGCCCCTGCGCTTTCAAGGATGACACGCAAAAATCGAGAAAATATGGTCCAAAATTTTGAAAGAAAAGGAAAAAAAAAGGAAAAAAACTAAATATATATATATATCGTCACAAACAGAACTGCCCGGTAAACCGTAGGCAGAGAGAGAGAAGAGGACAACAAACGAGGGGCTGTGACAAACTGTTTCGTCGGAGTTTCACCGACTCATCGATATATATATCAGCTATGTCCTTCCGGACATCCGTCAGATTGAAACGACACAGTGAAGGGAAGATTACCGTCTTCTCCCGAATACAACGTACGGTCATTATCATTATTGCTGTATTTGGGGCATCTTTCAGTCTAAATACAGTTATGATGACCGCACGTTGTATTCAGGGGAAAGCGGTAGCACAGTCTCTGCGCATTCAGGGATGACACGCATTGATCGAGAAAAAATAGTCCAAATTACAATGCTCATAAAATTAAGACTATTTTTTCTCGATCAATTTACAATGCTCATAAAAATAAAATTAAAAAACGAGCTACCATCAGATAACACGACATCGAAATTGAAAGTTTTCCTTAAAAAAATAAAAATAAAAAAAAAATGAAAGTTTTGAAACGACACAATGAACATTAGCATGGTCCCGGAGCATTCCGCGACAACACGCACGCACTAATCGAGGAAATAGTCCAAACTATAATGCTATATCAGAATCGAAAAATAAAATAAAACCAAACGAAATACTATCATCGGCTAACACGACAAGTGAAGAGCAACTGCACAGCGCCAAAGAACAATGATTCCTCAATTGATATCGAAGAGATCTTGTGCCACCCACTACGCTTCTAGTGGGCACCTTAGAAAGACTAAATACTCGTAAGAAGTGGTTAAGGTAAGCCAATCAACGGCTACGGAGTTATCGACCCATCTCTGCCAGCACAACAGGTAGACAGACGGTCCCGTCTTTACTAGCGGAACTCAAAACGAGCCTTTTTCCCCCCCCCCCTTCCGCAAGTTCACCTGCTGGAACCTTGTTTGTTACTTCTCCTTCCCTCTAATGATGACCAGGTTCAAGGAACGTCTGACGGCACCCCCAGCAGCAAGCCGCCGAGATCACCGCGAGATCACCGCGATCCAGACACACATCACCGGACCATTCAATCGGTCGGAGCGACGCCCCCCTCCTTGAAAAGACGGCGTTTACCTGCCGTACTATATTTTTTATTTACTTTTGAAACTGATGGAAAGACGGTGCCCCTCCCCTCCCCCCCTCATACATACGCACACGCACAAAAATGGGGGTGCTGACAATGACTCGAAAAAAAGGCAACCAAGTATTGCAAATATCGCCCCTCAGGGCCTACATACTTTCTCAACATCCTCATCAACTCGTCCCCATAATTCGAGACAGTTTTTCTTTAGAAGAGAGGGCCAAAAAGAATAGTGAATAGTGAAAACAGGGGCCAAGGTTAAAAAAAAAAAAAGGGGCCAACAGAATCGGAAATGCTGCCAAGAAAAAGATCAGCAAACACTTGTGCGCGCGCGGCCGGAAAAAAAAAAAAAAAAAAGACCCAGCACGCTAATGTCTAAAAATAAATAACTACCAGTCAGTCATCGGATTCTTTTAACAAACCTTCCCTATTAGATAGTCGCACATCTCTCTCTCTCTCTCTCTCTCTCTCTCTCTCGCTCGCTCGCTCGCTCGCTCGCTCGCTCGCTCGCTCTCTGTCTCTCTCTCTCTCTCTCTCTCTCTCTCTCTCTCTCTCTCTCTCTCCATCTCTCTATCTCTCTATCTCTCTATCTATCTATCTCGGGCCACGCTGAATTCCCTCCTCTTCTATCCGCACGTAGGTCGACGCATGTGTTCACACATACACATGAAAACGTGATTAACGAATGAAAGATAAAGGACAGAAGAAAATTCAAAGCTATAAGATCTACCTTTCTCCAAAATCAAAGATGGAAGATGAACCTTTCTGACCATTTCTCGATTTATGCGTGTCATCCTTGACTGCGCAGGGGCCATGCTAATATTGTCTAGGTTCTCTGTATCGTTCCAAATTTTAACGGATGTCCCGATGGAAGATCAACCTTTCTCGAGCATGCATACATCAACCATTCAGTTGGGAAAAATAAGAAAAATTAAGAAAAAATAAGTGGGGGCAACAAATACGAAAAAGAAGAGGACGAGCAGAGGTGCTCATCATACACAATTTATTGAAGCAACGGAAGAGCCACGAAAGCATACACACAGCTCTTCATCATTAAATCAAACAATACATCGCGAAAAGAAGACGAAAAGGAAAGAAGGAGGACGAGGAGGAGGATCGACAACGTCTCTACACATCAATACGTACGTATATGGGCCTCGCCGCACCACTCACCAAATTTGAACATGACAAAAAAAATTGGCGGGCGTACCGTTTCCCGTGTTCCAGGGCAGATACATTCTCATTTTGCACGTTCGGGGAGTGGGAAGGCGAGGCCCTATCTCTATCTCACAGGAGCCACTGTGTTATTGGCACACGAGTGCGCGCTCACAGGAAGGCAAAAAAAAGATCCATCAATTTCTCTGTTGCCCAAAAAAAAAAAAAAAAAAATAAAAAAAACCCAGAAAAAAAAAAAAAAAAAAAAAAAAAAAAAAAAAAAAAAAAAAAAAAAAAAAAAAAAAAAAAAAAAAAAAAAAAAAAACCCAGAGAAGAGAAAACCAGCATTTCGTGACACGTAGCGGGGGCCAAAACGTACGAAAGGCCACGAGACCGGACACCTGAGCTTCAAAAAAAATTCATTCTCAAAAAGATCACCTCCAGAACACCTCGTGCTACACCTGAGAGCTTCAAAAAAAATTCATTCTCAAAAAGATCACCTCCAGAACGCCACTAACCTCTCTCCCTACGTTAGGTCTTCCTTCGTAGTGGACGAACCTCCCACACGTACAGAGGGCCTCGCTGCACCATTCTTCTCATCGCATGCGGAAAAGACAAACACACAATGGCGGGAGTTTCGTTCCGCGTTCGAACAGAAGACACATTCTCTATTTTTCACATTGGCGATAGTGCGGCGAGGCCCTTGGTCTGTCGCAGAGCCTCTTCCTTTTTTTTCTTTCCTTTCTTATTTCGACCCTCTTTCCTTTTCTCTGCTGCGCACACTTTTCCTTGTGATTAACATCGGTACACAGACAC